ACTCGACTCAACGTTCCGTACATCAGCCTCTCCACCAGAGGTTGATCCGGTGTGTATCCACACCGCCCATCCCTAAGGGAACTTGCTCACACGCGAACCTGGAGACAACAGTCTCATACTAGCCCTTTTTTTTTATTATACCACACCCCTCCCTCCCCCCCGGTGTTTGCCATCGGGGTTGGTTTTCGTCGCTTGGCAACGAAGTTGTCGAACAAGCCCCCCGGTGTTTGCCATCGGGATTGGGTTTTCGTCGCTTGGCAACGACGTTGTTAAATAGCCAATTCACTTCGTGATCTCGGTGAAGGCCACCCTGACTCTCGAAATCATGGGTTCGAGTCCCTGTCGAGGTGTCTTTTTTTTCCAAGACATTTATTTTTTTCGGAGTCCATCATATTGATTGGCGCCCCCCACACCTCATTCAACATACTGTAGGTTGCATAAGATACCACACCAGTGTGATAACATTTTCGGGGGGACAAAAGTCATCACACGGGTGTGGTATTCTGTAGGGGGTGTGATATATTACGTCACCCGTGTGATAAAGTGCACTCACAGAGTCTCAACAACAGGGGGTGTGATAACAAGGGGGTGTGATACCGTCGCCCGTGTGATGAATCACGCTCATAGGACCCGGCTTACAGGGGGCGTGATAACTTCACCCGTGTGATGATACGCGCTCACAGGACCCGGCCTGCCGGGGGTGTGATAATGTCGCCCGTGTGGTTGCAGTGCGCTCACAGGATCCTACCTTCGGGGGTGTGATAATAATGTCGCCCGAGTGATGCAGTGCGCTCAAAGGAGGCACCCACCTACAAAGGGCGTGAAGGGGTGTAAAACAGGTGTGATAGCTAGGGTGGCTCACACCACTCCATCACGTACATGCTTTCCCACGTGCATTTTCGCAGTATCCTTTGGAAATTCTTCGCATACGTACACAACGAAGACGTGGTACCGATACCTCATAGCGGTTGTGCCGATGTTGTGTGCGACAAAACGACAGCACACAGGTACCTGGACGACGCAACCACTTGCAAGACTTGCGTTCACCACTCAAGCTGGAACCACATAGGGCACAAGCAAGTGCCGGCTACATATCAACCAAAGCTAGAAACCAAGAGGACAAGCGACTACCGAAATATATGAAACACAGGACAAATTGGCTCTAATAGCAGCTTTGGTTGACTTGACCATGGCATGCAGCTACGGTAGGTAGATACCAGACAAGACACTCAGTCTATGCAAACAACGTCCGCCCCCGGCAAGTCTGCCATGACCTCAACCTCCGAGTCATCGTTGCCTTCGCCATCTCCAGAGCTGTCATCGTCGTCGATTTCCAACACCTCCAACAAGTCGGCCATCGTCTCCCCCTCCTCCGATGGGCCAGCCTCCTCCACGCCGGCAGCGGCCGCGTCGCCGTCTGCACGAAGTGGTTTCCCTTGGGCATCGGAGTTGAGCTCCTTGTTGGCCCACTCCTCGTCCTCAGATCCATCGAAGGCAAGGGTCATGCCAGCCTTCCCCCAGCTCGAACAAATGCTCTCAGGGTCCACTTCATCCCACGCTTTCTTCACCCACTGCGCGAGCAATCCCCTCGATGGGGGATCCGGGTAACCGCGGTCGTTGCGCACGGCGTCGGTGGAGGCCATGTGGTTATCGTACAGCCTGGACATGTTGGACTTGAACAGCTTGTTGATAGGTCCATCGCAAGGCTGGATCTTGGGCGTTAGGCCTCCGGGGACGAAAAACAGCGTCGTGTTGGACTTGTCCGTCGCTTCCTTGCACAGGGCTGTCTTGTGCACGGTGTAATCGTCCCACGATAGCAGCGTGTCCGGCTGACGGTAGTTGCCCAGGACCCCATCGCGACCCGGGCGCCGGTTCCATACTTGGGGGAGCCAAACATCCCTGAAGACGCGCTGCGTGTGCCACGCCTTGTCGTCCACGGCGTACACAACGCTCTGAGGGTATGCTATCCCCTTCTTGTCCTTGCCCACCTTGAACTCTCGTTCGATGCTGTTGGCAGCGGGGGTTTTACCCGGCGCCGTAGGCTTACCCTTAAAGATGAGCAGCGGCGGGAGTTTGCCGCCCTTCATGTTTACTGCAAGCACGGTAGTGATCCGCAAATTTTCCTTTCCACCGGTTTTGATGGCCACCTCTTTCTGACCGGTGTGCTGCGAACGACAAAAATAAAAAGCAAAAAACAATAGAGAAAGCAGAGGCGACGAAAAAAGTCGATTTTGTAGATGAGAATGACAGCTCTTCACGCACAAAGTGACGTATAGGTTTTGCAGTACAGTGATGATGGAAGCGAATATTAAGAAAATTGTAACCCGGCTTAAGCACAATACCAACGTCGTCTAGCCTTACTGGCTGGACACTGAGTCGGTATGCGGCAAGAAATATGGCATCACAATGCCCACTGTTTGCACGGAATGCCAAGAAACGACCAGACAGGCACATGATTCGAAGCAACACTTTTTGAACTCACCGCCACGGTCGACGTGCCAGCGGGCTCCATCCACACAGCAGTTTCATCCATGCTGTAGCTCTGCTCCTCCTTGAACAACAGAGGTGGCTTCGAAGGCGCACTGCTTGTTGCACCGTCGATTCCTCCGTGACGAAGCGCCCTCCATTCCTTGACGGCTTTCATGGCAATTGCAGGCCACCCGGAAGGGAGTTTCTGGCCTTGCTTGGTAGCCGCCCGGAATGACAACCGGTTCTTCCTAAGGAACCTCCTGCACCAGTGAGTGTGCTTGTTGCGGTACTTTCTACTGCCCTCCAGGTCGTTTGTTGCAGGCCTCGGGCCGAACCAAAGCGAGTTGAGCGATACCGCCTTGTTCTTGATCATCCTTGTAGCGACGCGGGCAGAGATGGCTTCCGAACGAACATCGTTGATCCAGTCGAGAANTGCAGGCCACCCGGAAGGGAGTTTCTGGCCTTGCTTGGTAGCCGCCCGGAATGACAACCGGTTCTTCCTAAGGAACCTCCTGCACCAGTGAGTGTGCTTGTTGCGGTACTTTCTACTGCCCTCCAGGTCGTTTGTTGCAGGCCTCGGGCCGAACCAAAGCGAGTTGAGCGATACCGCCTTGTTCTTGATCATCCTTGTAGCGACGCGGGCAGAGATGGCTTCCGAACGAACATCGTTGATCCAGTCGAGAAGTTCGAGCTCGACCTCAGCGTTTGACCTTACCCTCCCCGTGTTAAACGACTTCACGCTCCGGGCTTTTTTCTTGCCTCTGGCCCCGAGCTGGTCTGCCTGTTCCAGCTGCTTCTCGTACTTCGTTCTGTCTTTTATCCACGCAGAGAGTGTGATCTTCTCGGGGATCCCAAGCACTCGTTGCGCATACGACACACCGATGGTTTCATTAGGCCCCTGCGCCCCCGGGCTTTGCATGGTCGCGCACTTAATGGCGTTTACTTTGAATTCCAAATCGTACCGCTTGCGTTTCTGGCTACGACCAAACTTAATGGGGAAGTTTGGTGGCTCCAATTCTAGCGGCTCTCTTTTCCTCTTGCCCTTGCTCTTGCCCTCGGCCGGCGTGCCGTCGAGATGCCCACCGAAACCATCTGTCCACTCCTCTGACTCTCCAGGAAACATGGTGTCGCCGACGGGCGCCGCTGCGGCTGCTGTCGTCGGTGCTTCAGGCAGGTGCACGTTCCTGAAAAGCGCATGAGTTCGAGGAAGCAACAAAGCATCTAGCATACGTGTCATGAAGTGCAGTGTCTGTAACAATGCGCTCACTCCAACGACCATCAGACCAACGTACCAAAAATACGATGGCTAGCGGATAGCTCTGACAACGGCCACCAGGTTGAGACTCATGGCGTCCACGCTTGCAAGGTACAGAGGGTGAGCAGCTGACGGCACCTATTTCGTATCTCACACAAACAGGCACGAACTGCTGTCGAGGTTATATTTACATATTTGCACGTGTTGGGTACGGGTTTCGCAGCCTTCCTACCGAAACATCACAAACACAAAAAAACGGTACGCGGAAACGTGTCGTGTGTGTGAAAAAAACAATCCAGTAAACATTTCGCCTACACACCATGATATATTTGAACTATGCATACATGAAAAAATAATGTCAACATGCTTAAGTACAGTGAGGCGAGCGCGACGACACGACGTTAAAATCACATTTTTGTTTCGATCTGGTTATCGATGAGGCAATCAGGCGTGGCATGTGCTTTGGTTTGCTTGAGCCATGAGAATCCTCACAAACACCCATGTGCTGCAAACTGCAAGACGCTCTGCGCACACCTTATTTTGATATAGACGTCGCCAGACTTCGTATGCCTGCCGCAAAACTCCGGCATATCCTTCCCTGGCTCAGCCCACAAGGGCTTGTTGGTGCACGATGGTTCTCCGCAGCGCGGTGCTGCTGCAGGGTTCTCAGCAGTAGCCGCGCTCAGGGTGTTGGCGGTTGGCGGGAGAGCTGCCCCTTCGGGTGCGGGGGCGGGTGCTGCGGGAGTCTCAGCAGTGGGTTCTGCTTCGCAGGTTTCAGCGACACATGCGGTGGCAGGCGCAGCCGGTGCTGTGGGAGTCTCAGCAGCGGTAGATTCTGTTGGGCGGGCCGCAGCAGTACGTGCGGTGTCATGCGCGGCNAGTTGGTGGTTGGCGGGAGAGCTGCATTTTCGGGTGTGCGTGTGGTTGCTGCGGGATTCTCATCAGCAGGTTCTGCTTCGCAGGTTTCAGCGGCACCCGCGGTGGCAGGCGTAGCCGGTGCTGTGGGAGTCTCAGTAGCAGTAGATTCTGTAGAGCGGGCTTCAGCAGTACGTGCGGTGTCATGTGCGGGTTCTGAGGGAGTCGTCCCAGCAGCCCCACGTTCTCCCGGGGGGGGTTGGCAGAAGGACGCTATGGAGCGTGGGGCCGCCGCTGGAGTCTTGCCCACTGCAGTCTGAGCCGCGGGGCTTTCAACCGGGTTGTTAACTGCACCACCCTCCACGACATTGTCCGCCTCCATGGCTCTTGCGAGCAGGTGGTGTGGTTGTGATCTCTGTCCTCACGTTGTCACACCGTGTGATAAGCGGGGGCTCCGTCGATTTAATGCGGCCCAACTTCAGGGGGTGTGGTATCTTGTGTCACCGTGTGATAAAATGACGTTTTTTGGGGGGCTGAAAAAAATAGCACACGGGTGTGGTATTGTGTACGTTTTCTGAAGGGGTGTGGTATATAATGAAAGTGTGATATCTTATGCAACCTGCGGTACTGTGGTTTCATCTGGAACGGGTACTCTCTCTTTGACTGTTTGTCTTTCTTAAAAACGCAGCAGCTCCGTCGGCGCCAATAGAATCGGTCGCACGCGCCCCCGAGCCGGAGAAACGGCAGCGGCCAAGGAGAGCACTCAAAGGCNTAATGAAAGTGTGATATCTTATGCAACCTACGGTATTGTAATACTGCTGTGTAGTAAACGGGCCAAAGGTAGCAACGCACGAGCCTACTGCAGGAACGTTTTTCAACAAAAAACTTTCCACCTCCCGATCTAGCAATTTTCTTAATATGTCTACTATTTATCTCATCGCCGTGAAAGTGTAATCGAATATTAGTATAATATGGCGGGGATTGGTTGTATTTCACTCGAAGCGAACATCAAAGTGTTTTCAATTGAAAAATGAAGAGTTTCCATTTTCTTTATGTAGACCAGCTCCTGATTTATATACAATACAGTCGAGTTATCATGTATACATACAAAAACAAACGAGACAACGAACCGCCCGATGACGGGATGCAGGCGGACTTATGCATATGTTTCAGTCCTTAGACAAGATGCAGTGAAGTGACATCGGCCGGAACAACAACTTTGGCATACCGGTGTTGAAGAACATTTCTGTGGCCAAACTCTGCATGAGGTCAACAAAAGCTCCATGGGGAAACCGTCCGCCTGTGTCGTAAATAGTACACCTCTTCCAGGCGAAGGACCACATCCGCACGGCTGTTGTTTGTCTCCTTGTATCTGTGTAGCACCGCGTCTATTGTCATCGCCTGAGTCTTCGTACAGATTGCTATTGGAATTACGACGTTGGGCCGGGCTGTGCAAGAATGCGTAATCCTTCTCATTCATGGTTGTCGTAGGCCTGCCTACTTCGCACCCTGACTTCCACAAGCAATAGAAGAGGTATGCAGCATTAAAAAGTTCGTCCCTGTACCACTCAATTGTGAGTGCAAACATCGAGAGAGGGCACCACATCAGAGGTTAAGGTTATAACTGCAAACGACCGTTGTGTTGTCGCCTTCTCCGAAGCATCCACAACTGCCCCCCACGCGCTTCCTTCCCGTTGAATCAGCCTGGACCAATACACGAGCTTCACAAAGGACCCCTGGCTTCATGATAGACCAGAAAACCGCAAACAATGCAGCACGCTGTCCAAGGCTACGTTCGCGGAATGGCCAAACACGACATCCGATTTCTCGCTTCACCGCGGGGTGGCCCCGGCTGGAAAGCTCACTGCGCATCATAAGTCTCGATTCGCGAACCAATACCAAGGGGTGGGAGCGGTGAGCACCATACGTAAAATCCAATCTCTGTCTGCCTGTGTGCCTTCATGGTGCTAATATTACACCATCTTCAGAACCCCTGAGGAAATGGCTGCACTACTGAGTTGTACACCGGAGGAACCTTGTTGGGTGAGTGTGGGGGTCTGGTTATGGTATCTTCATGCAATAGAGACATACACGGAGTACAGATCTGCGAGACGTGCGATAATGGAGTATTGATAGTGCTGTCCTAAATCGTCACTGTTGTGATTCTCAACAGCTGCGAAATATTCCTCAGGAGGTTGGCAGATGAGTATTCCGGAGCTTGGGAATGGAGTCCATGAAGGCTCGACCATGAAGGCTCGCCCATGAAGGCTAGCCCAACTCTACACCTCGCCCTAGCTTGACTGACTTCGCCTGGTCCCGCTTGGCATTCCTCACCACCTTCCACCAAAGGGAAAACCCAACTTTCGGTGGCAGGCCATCGCCACCACGTTCCGGACACTACACCCTCCCAGAGTTGACGCCTCCATTTTAGGATTTCTGACGCACCATTGTCCTTTTCGCGATTTCTAACTTCGAACGTTGACCGAATTTTATCTTCCTCCTTTTGTGTACGTGTATCGCCGATTAAGATTCCCGTATTAGGCCAACCTAACTGCGGTAATCTTGAGCAGTGTCGATGACTCTACTCGCTGATCTCCTTTCGCACGTTCACGCGCGCGTCGCCCGAAACTGCGCCCTTTTCTCGAAAGGGTGCTTCTCCTTCTTCTCAAGTGGCATCGAAGGCCATCGCAACCAGGACACCATGCCGTGCCATCTCGGACGCGCAGCTAAGAGCGACAATCAGCACAAACAACGGACACAGATCTGCTCAAAGTGGTGATTCTAAAACCACTACCAACGACAAGATGCACTGTTGTGCTGCAACGCACACCACTTCGGAGGCTAGACACTCGGCCGACAACGTGACGGCCGCTTACACGCTTGTGCAACAAGCGGCAGTACAGAAAAACGCAACATCAAGGAAACCCGAAGGGCGATGGGGTACGCCAACTACACAATTACTTCATTGCATGTCGGCGGGATCTGAGACACCGCTAGCACGACAAGGCCATGAAACGAGCAAGGATAGCCATCGAGAATCCTCCGCCATCTCCAACTGGAGCGTTGCAAACATCGGGTTCAACGACATCAAGTCCGAGAACCAAGCGCGAATCGAGAGAGACAACAAAGCCGGATATGTCCGAGCGGCCTTCGCCTCTCAAGGTGCCGACAAGCCCTACATAGCCGAGGCCGCACACTTTCGGTCTCGATATCCGCACACCTTGGGCCGGATTAAGGCTTTGTCGAACGTTCGGAGCGACCGAGTTGATGCCCGCAGAGATCGAGCATTCACGAGCAGCACCCACAGCTACGTCAAGTAATGGCGTAGGTGTCCGAGTGAGATGGAACGCCTAACGCTTCACAAGCGAGATAACCGATACGTGATGAAGGTATCATGCAATCGAAACAACGAGCAAGGACAAAGTAGACTCAGGTGGAGGTCTTGGCTGGGTGCTACGTTTCGATTGGCATTCGTTGACAAGATAACGTGGAGATTCTCTTCAAACAGGGTACAATCTCCCCAACATCTGTCCAGAACGACTCATTCTTTCTTTTCACGTTGGCGTCGACGAAAGACATGTCTGCTTTTAGTGGAAGAGAATTCGGGTTCAAGTTTTGCCACCCGCCATAGTTATTTCCAAAAACAGTAAAAAAATGGTCGGGCACCAAAAACAGATTTTCGAACTTGCGGAATTTCCAGCGAAGCCGTGAATCGCAGAAGACTGTGAAGTACTTCGTTGCCAGCCGGTCGGGTTCTGGTTGTACCCCTGTAGAAATAGAAGTCCTCTCGCCTAGCAACCAAGAAGACTCAAAGAGGAGGGGGTAATGTCCCCTTCATACAGGGTACAATCGCCCCAACGTCTGTCCAGGACGATTCCCTCTTTTCACAACAAGCGTCGTCGGAAAAGAAAAGTTTCTGCGACGCCCCTAGGCTCCGTTTTCTGGACCAGGACTACTGTAGGCACAGAGGGCTCTATGCACTTAGACAACAAGCATCGAGGTTTATTATTTCTTCTTCAAAGTCTGCAAGGGACTAGCTGGTCAAGAAGGAGAAGCGCGACGCCGGTGACAGTCCTCTCTCATGCGGTACGCAAGTCGCCTCTCCATGCCAACTGACTGGGGCCTAGTAAATGCCGTCTATCTTCAAATACTCTCAAGGACACTCCACCTTTTGGTACATGCATCATTCAGTTTACAGGTAACACCCCGTCCATTGTACGAAAAACTTTTCTCCAACTCGCTTCCTACGCTTATCCTATCCGGAACTCTTGCCTCACCTGCCGCTATCGCCCCCCCGCTCTCGGAATATCGATCAGAGAAGGGTGCGCTGGGCGGGAGACACGACAGCGCTATTGATTGGTATTTCGGAGGTACAGGCTGATTCAACAAACTACCCATCTATGTAACATTTAGTTTCCCCTGTCTTCCTCCCAGCACTAGTGCTACGACGAGACGAGAACCTTTGCTTAGATTGGTCTTCGTACGCTTGGTAGCACGTGGTGACGAAATCCACCCGTACGTAAATGTACACCCTGGAACTAGATACAAAACACACCCTTCGGGCACGATCGAGCGACAATAACAGTAACAGTGTTTCCCCCTCAAAGGGGAGTCGTGTGACGTGCTCGCTTTCAGCCATGCGCTGTGTTATTCGCCAGCTTCCTGGCCCCCTCTTTGTTGCTAGTTTTTTCATGAAAACAAAGAAGACATATAGCCTGTTTGCAATGACCCCAGATTAATCGTTCTCCTTCAAAGACACCTGTCCTACTTTCTACATCGTGGAAGTTGCCCTCCGCAAGCTCACATCCTGTTATTCTCTTTGATACTGTTTTCGAAGAAAAAGTATTATATTTGCCGTGTCGTTCGTAGTGTTTTTTCCACCCTATGGCCTTCCCTCTGAACTTGAACAGCTCCGACCCGGGGTCACGCAAAAGAAATTTTCTGCGGTGCATGGCGTGAGTTTACTTGGATTCAGTCTTCCTCCGCTAAACTTTTCTATCCAGCAAGCGGTTACGCTACAAAGCGCGGAGTGAACGCGATTCCGTGGGATCCGAACTCCTAACCTAACCTCTATTTTCAAGACTATTAACGTAACTTCCGAAATACCTAAGTCGCGGGAGAGACCGGCGCTCTTTCCCACTACACCTGGCTACAAGAAGCTACCACATTCCCAATTTACAAAATTAGTTAGGACTCATTCCTCGCTCGCCATTTGAGGGGGAAGTCTCACGCGAGACGTCGTCGAAGTACTGTTGGATTCTCGAAGCCATATTGATCGCTGGTTCACCGCGATCTTGACCGATTTACAATCTACCTTCACATGTGACCCCTACTTTTAAGGTTACGGTCGTACCACAGTAACTCTTCGTGCGATCGTTGTAAGTCCATAAAATACAATGAGGTATGACTTCGATACAATCAACTCTTGTCTATTTCGTCGCATTCATTTCTGGGCGACAGTCTACATCGTTCGGCGTACGTAAAAACACCAGCCGTGGTCACACCAGAGGAAGGTAAGCCTGGGGTTTTGTTTGTTCTCCAGGCTACCCCAGGCGGTGCTTGCCTCCAACCTTTGACGTGAACAGGGTTTATCCCCAACGTCGACATCAAAGACCTCACTGTTCTTGGACGATACCGTCTCGATACCGATAGGACTGACCCTGGAATACAAGGGCTCGTGTTTCCTGTTCATATCCCCCACTTGGCCTCTTCGCCATGCGCGTCTGCCTCGCCACGCCACTGTCACCACCACCCCAACCTGTGGCAAACCCCACGATATCTGGATTCGCCCCCGTCTACCCATCCTAACGACTCTCGCGCTCAGCTTCGCCTGACGTCACAGTGCGAGCTTGCGCGCTTTCTAAAAACATACAGATATCACTTCGAGAAATCCCGACGCCTGACGATATGCATCCCATTGGTGAGGCCTTGCATGTGTGTGGCGGGCCCCACCCTACCGCTTCCGTCGTATGTAGTCCGTGCAGCAACTGCTGCAGTGTCCGCAGCAGCATCCAGCCACGGGAAGGTGGCCAGCAACGTGTCATGGAGCATCGGCTATGACCATAGCGCTGCTATTCTCGTAGCTTTCCTCGTGCGCTGACGCGCTCGGCATCGCCGGAGCCACCGCCGTCGGGAGCATGCCCGCGAAGATGCCCTCATCTTTCTCGGCCCCATTCGACCCCGCGCCGACACCGCCGATCTCCTCTCTCAGGAGCGCATTGAGTGAAGAGGAGAACTGCATGCCCACCTCCCGCCCGGCCTCTCCGAAAACTTCTAGGATGGTGCCGTCGGAAGTCTGGAGGAACTGGCGGTGCAGCGACTTCTTCGAGTCCACAGACACGTCGTAGATGACCACATGGGTGGTCTTGCCGCCGCCTGACTTGGTGCCGCGACCTGTCGCTGACCCCGGCCCCCTTCGAGATCCTGCTGCCGTGCCCCCGCCAGTTTCACTTCGAGGGGTCGCCCCGGCCGCTCCTTGCCCGTCCTCTTCCTCGCTGACGTGAAAGTCGAAGAACACGACCTCGCGGCGGGCGCCATTGGGTCCCCTCCATGTCCGAGCGCGGACGCACGCGTGCTGCAGCTCGGCCGCCGAGAGCTCGAGGTCGTGCGGAATGAAGAATTTGTCCTCGTCGGCGTTGAGGCGCCGCCAGACGTCCAGCATCCGGCCGTTCATGTGCGCGTGGAGGAGGTACTGGTGGAGGATGAGCGCCGTCGTGATGGACACGAAGGCGTAGATCTGACGTTAGATGATCCGTTCGAAGAATGAAGAGTGAGTTGATGTCATGACGTGCATTGGTTGACGACGAGGAGGGGAATGAAAGGGAAAACGAGGAGGGGGGGGGGTGAGACATCGGCCGGTTGGAGAAATAGGGCACGGTCATGAAGACAATTTTAAACGGAAACATCACTACACATTGCTGTCGACGAAGTTCTCGTAGAAGGATTGGTCGAAGCGTGATAACAACAACGGCAAAACCAACTCACCATCACGGTTAGCAGAGCCCCGCTGATCCCCGCCCCCTCTTCCGCGTCCAACCTGACGTACAGCTTCCAGCTATCGCCCTCGTGGCACCGACACGTCGGCGAAGTGTAGTCAAAGCACTTGGAGGAGCAGTCGTGGTTCCCGGCCATGAAATCCACGATGAACAGAAGGTAGGGGTCGAGCCCAGCAGCCACGCCAAACGCCGCCACGAATCTCGAGAATGCCTCCGGCACTCCTTGAAGGCGAAAGTTGGAGGAAGAGTTTGGGGATGTGTTGCTTAGTATCGACTGTGCGAACCAGCTGACCACCGAGTGTCAGTATCAGCTGGTAGGCATGAGGAGCTCCCCGGTGTGTGTGTGAATACGCGCGCGTGCATCTGCCAGTCTCTTCAATGTTCAAGGTAGCACCGCTGCGCAAACCGGCAGGTAAATTTCAACGCCATTCGCAGCACATTGAGCAAATGGACGGTCCTGCGGAAAGGGGCAAGAAGCCGAGACGATGGGCTACGTAATCGGCGTGCGACGCCAAAGCTTGAGTTAGAAGCTGTTGACGGATTACGCAAGTACCTTCGCCGCCACCGCCACCCTTTCCTCCGCACGCCGCCAAGCCCCACAGCCGAGCCAGGGCCGCCACCGCCGCGAAGCAGAGCATCACAAACGTGGGCCCCCACCACACAAAAGCAATCTCCACGCCAAGAGACGATGAGCGGTCCATGTACTTGATGGCAAACTCCCACAGCCTCGGCTATTGGTGTTGCAAGGGGAGGGTTCGACACGTGCGTGTGATTGTGTGTTTGTTGGGAGAGTGGCGGGGGCAGTGAGAGAGGTGCGAAGGAATATTTTGGTGAGGTGTTATTCTTCACTACCCTTGTCATCGTTTTTCAACCCCTATTCTGACAGTCCGTGTGTGTGGCTTCAAACAGCAACGACGGCATGCATGGCTGTCGAAGGCACTTTGGCGACAACCTAGGTCGATGGGTGGTGTACCGCCCCAAATGGAAAGGGTACCCAACAACCGGAACCGAGTTGTGCGGAATGAACAGTTTCAAAACATCCATAGATTCGCACAGTTAGAATGGAATACCATCGTGGCCGGCCATACTCAGAATATCATCACCTACAAGTGACAACAGCTGCTTTAGTAGTTCATTGACGGGTTCTGGAAAGAGGAATATCCCTGTACATCTACCTTCAATGGCAAGTGCGGAAAGGATCGAAAAAACACAATGCAACGCGTACCGTGAAACTAAACACCGGCACCCCCAGCGCGTACAGCAAGAACCACTGCCCGAGTGCGTGGATGTAGACACGTAGCCAGAGCGCTCCGACGAACACCATGACGGCCAGCCAGTATTCCACCACACGCCACCCACGGGGGTGGAGGTCTAGCAGGACCTCCTGTTGGATGTAGCGCAGCTTGATGGCGATGATATGTGCTGGAGTGGCCGGCGCGTCCGTGCCTGGCGTCATGGTTTGCATGAGTCGTTCAAATCGGGGGGAAAAGCAATAGATGGGATAGAGGGAAAGGAACGGGGTCGGTGGCGAGGGGGAGGCGTCGAAACTTTCGATCAAGATCGTGGTCGTCTGAAGCAATAGGGTCTTGATTTTTCGTGCGAGACGGATTTATAGCTGCATGCACGAAGGTAGTATGTCGCGTGGTCTCCCTCGCGCTAATTCGTTGGAAACTACGCACACCTTGCGGTCCACAACCTGAGAGACGAAAGGGTCAGGATCCTGTTATGGCTCGGGGCCGTTCCATTCTATGAAACAGGTTTTGCACGTGATACCCGCGGGGACGAGGGAGTCTGGCCTACCGCCCGATCTACGGCAAATATATGCCAGGGCGCCTGGAAGGCTTCTTCTCCAGGGTCCAATCTGTGGACCCGACCTAAAGGGGTCGTTCTTCCTATGTAGCTTCGTTTGGGGGAAGAACGCAGTGCTTTCGAGGAAGAGACCAATGCTGCTGTTACCTTGCCAGCGGTAATAAGGACCAAAAAACAATCGTAAGGTATTCTTACCGGGATCGGAGGCGACCGCGAACCGGTAGAACTCCATCTCCGCGGGGTTCGTCAGCGGGGTCCACACGTGCGAGTCTCTCGCGCCGTTGTTTCCCCCGCTGTAGCGCTTCGGCAGGCCCCTGTGCCCCAGCCCGAGGGCCGCGCTGTCCCACCTCGCACCCTCCCCCCTCCTCCTGAGCCCCACGCCCTTCGCGTGTCCCCCGGTGTGCGCTCCAGAGCCGGCGGCCTTGTCGACGGCGAGGGCCGCCTCCCCGGAGGGAGTAAAACGGAACGTGCTCCCCCGGAGCATGTCGTCGTCGGACAGGCACTCCTCGTCGACGGTCTCTTCGATCTTGACGTACTCCTCGTTTTCGTTGCCGTCGTCCACGTCTTCTTCACCCTCGAGGTGGCTGGCCCAGCCGCCCTGGGGCGGGGGGGCCTCTATGCCACCATCGTATCTCCTTTTGTTGAACTGTGTGTTGACCGCGAGGGGGCGGCAACGGGCAACACAAGCAAGTACTAATGGCGTTTCTCTGATTTGGGTTGATTCTGATCGACCCGATTTGTGGCGTAGAGAGCGGCGTGAAATTATCATAAAGCAAAGGTGCTACAATTACGTAGATCTGAATAGCTCCACGTCCATCCTGATGGTGGGAACTGAGAGAGTTGTTAACGCTGATGCGGCTTCTTTGGTAGACTAAGAAACGCGACATGGTGAACAAAAGGTAAGGCGAAGAAAGCATTTGGAACAAACAGCCGAGTTCCACGCCGTACTTTGTTGAAAATACGTCTGTACCACACGGACGGAGGCCACCAGCACGCGACGGCCACCTACTTGCGTACCACTATCTTGAAAACACTCTCCTGATTATAGTTCCGACTCAAGCGCTTGCTGCAGGCGTGCTCCCACTGAATGCGAGGAAAACGGCTATGACGCGCTGAAGGTCGGCGTAGACACTATGCACAGGTCAGTTCTAACCGAACAGGACGGGGGTTAGAAGAAAACCTCGCCGTGTAGCTCACTTGTTTTTCAACAGCCTTCTTGGGCTTGACTGTGTCCGGGGGAGGAAGCGCGTCGTCGATCCATTTTTTCTTGTCTATTTTCGTCCCAAACCATGGGACCTTCTTGATCTTTTTGGAATCACCCGAGGAGGTCTCCCCCCCTTTTGTACTGCCCTTCTCGTCTTCGAGATCTGTCGATATGCCCGTACCATCCGCTTCATTACTCACGGGCTTCGGCACTAAATCTTCAGTGTCGCCCCCCCCCCGCGCTGTTGCCCCCGCGGTATCCTCTCCGAGTACTTTGATCAATGGTAACAACTGCTTGGCCTCTCCAGCTTCGGAACCTGCCAGGAGTCCAACAGAATTGTCGCCACCGCCAGTTTCAATGTCGTTGTCGTCGGCATTTCTGCCGTCGTTGTCGCCGTCGTGGTCACCTTTACCAGCTCCATGACTGTCATTATCATCATCCATACCCGTTTCCTTTCTTGATTTCCAGCGCTCCCAGCGGCCTGCCGACGGGATCAGCTTCCCCCAAAGCCCCTTCCCGAGCCGTGCCACTTTCCTCACGTGGTCGTACTCGATGTCGTACCCCTCTCCGCCGATGGCGCTACCGCCTTCGACCCCCGGCCCGTCCAGCCTCGCTTCCCGCGGCAAGTGGCGAATGTCTAGGTACAGGTTCCCGAGCCATGCTTCGAGGTCGGCGGCGATGAGCTTCTCCACCCCCTCGTGCAGGTCGATGTTCGGGTTCGGTTCGCCGCGGAGCAAGGGGATGCGGAAGCTGCCACGGACTATTCGGAGCCGCGAGTCCGCCAGCGGCAGCACGCACCAGCCGACCGCGGTGTCTTCGTCCAGCTCCCCGCCCTTATGCCGGCTGCTGCCGCATCGCGCGCCGCCTCCGCCACCGGCGCCGCCGCCACTTCCGGCCAGACGGAACAGCTCAAATACCATGACGTTCCCGGGACGAACCTCCGATTTGCTGGGGCACAGCTGGTACACGCTCTGGTCGACCCTGAGCTCGCGGTCAAAGTACCGGCCGCCGTGCTTCACGGGCAAGGTGGCCGCCGGCCGGGTGTCGCCTCCGTCGGTGTCGATGCTGTCCTCCTCGTCGAAGTCGTCGAAGTCGGCTCCTTTCGTCCAGCGCATTGCCCGGCCGCCCAGCCGCTCCGCCATGCTGGAAAGCATGACGTACGACCCACGAGGCAGCCGGTCCCGCACGGCACGGATGCAGTGCAGTCGGATCTCCACTGGTTGCGGCACCCCCTTCCAGTCCACCCGAAACCTCCTCCCTCCCGGGGTCTCCCCCGGCCGGAGTTCCCCGAACACCTCCCTCACCCTGCCGGCCTGCGCCCGAATGGCTCTCTCCAGCCCCCGGCGGGCTCTCGTGAACGCCGGGGCTAGGGCCCGCTCCCCCGCGATCGAGGTCTCGATGACCGCCTGCTTCTCGATGTTGACCTTCCTCTCGATCTCCTCCTTGAGCGCCAGCACCCGCCTCCGTGCGCGGTCTTCCCGGTACAGCAAATTCGCCTCCCGCGCCCGGTAGATGTTTGTTTCCTCGCGAGCGTTGGCAAGCCGCCCAAGCTCTAGCGCTCGCTCCCGCGCCCGGACCACCTCGACCCGCACGCTGGCCACGACCAGCTCTGCTCCGCGCACGCCGCTCTGGTACTCCGCCACGTACCCCGGTGGCGGGGGATCAACCGCATCACGCAGGCGCGAGACTTCGGCCTCGAGACTCTCGAGCCCCGGCGGGGCAGGCGGCGGGGGCGGCGGAGCGTCCGAGAGCAGGAGGTCCGACATCTGGCCGGATACCCAAGCTCCCGACACCCCGTCGTCCGCAAGCGGCGCGAACACGGCGTCCGCGGTTTGTTCGCTTGTGACACCATCTGCGACGTTTTCTTGCGCCTGTAAGGTCGTTACGGTGGTGGCGCTATTGTCTCTTTCCTTGTCGCTGTCGGTAGTGCCGGTGGCTTGGGCCAAAGCTCGTCGGGCGGGAGAGCGCGGCGACAGACGGTTCGGCGCGACCGCGTCTCCCAGAAGCGCCCATCGGTTCTTTGCACCTATATCGTAAGTTGTAATTCCCGTCCAGAAGGCACGAGGTGGACATTTGATGCTGTTGCAGACACCGAAGAACAGACACGGCGTCAATTTGGGGCGCACTTGAGAAAAACTTGTCGTTACCTAGGTAAACCAACCGCAGACTTGCCCTAGTGGTGAAGTGCATACGGTGAAACCTTCCATCCGTGTGGTGGGGTTGATTCGGAGGTACAACTGTACTTCCAAGCGGACCAACTTCAGCAAAAGAGCTGTTGAGTGCTTCCCTAGTCCGAAGGAGGGACTGCAACTGTATCATCTCGGCTCGCCTACTTCCGCGGCTGAGAACGTGCATAGTTTCCTCAATGTTTCTGTGACCAAACCAAGATATCCTTGCCTTTGAGGGAGGGCGTGAGCGTACCACCAGTTTCCTCCTCGTGTACCTCTGCCCCCGTTGGAGAAGAGGGAAGAGCCGACTCATCGCCTTCGATAAGATTCTTCATGTCGAGGAATCGCGCGCGCATGCGCCTCACCCTTGCTTCCTGCGCGGTTGTCGGCTTGCTGTTTCTTTCGCCATTGTCGCAGCCGCTCCCCCCGTCCTTTTCCCTTTCTTCGCTGCCCCCCGAAGTAAACAGTGTGCTGGTATCGGCAGCTGATAAAAAGGAGCGGTCAGTGATAATAGGAGGAGGTGTGATTTCACCCAATGCTTCGATGTTTGGCGAGGAAGCCTCGTCTCCCCCGCCACCCTCGGGTGGCGTTCGGGAAAGGCTATCTTCTTTCCCGTCAACGTATCCGGCACCTTCGTTTTGGCCGGCGTCGATACCTTTGTCTCCATCTCCGACCAAAGGGACTTCTCCCTCCTCCGCCGTTACCGCGCGCGAGGAGCCCTTCTCCTCCTCCACCCCTGACTGACCGCTACCGCTGCCCCTGTCTCGCTTGACGCCATCTTGTTTCGCATCTTCGCCTGATCTTCTGTCTCCATCGTGCGGTGGTATTGTCACCGGTATCTCTCCCGTCGACGATAAGGGGCTCAGGAGCATGGCCGTGGGGTCGAGGTCACCGTTGGTGGTGTCCTGCGGTGGCGCCAAGGACGAAGACGATGCAGCGGCAGCGGTAGATGACGGTGGTGGTGATGATGTCGCCGTGAGACTGGCCAGCTTACGCTCGAGCTCCTTGTGGCGCTTGTATAGAGGCCGGATTTCCGTCTTGTCTCTGCGCGATTTATCAAGGGAAACTCCGATAGGTCAAACACAGGAGAAGCAAGGATGGGATGCGACGGGCTTGAGCACACGATAAAGGGCTGTTGGGGCCGTGGAAGAACTGTAGCGCTGTACCTCGAATTTCCTCTCGTACAACCTTCTTGTGGTCACACTGTCGCATTGGTCCTGGAAAGAGTGCTAAGTATCATCTGCCTTAAGCATGCCTTATCAGAACAGCCGTTGATTACGTACTGCTAAATACTATCTGAGTTAAGCACGCCTTATTAGAACAGCTGTTGATTACGTAAACAGTATCTTGAAGAAATGCTCGATAGAGTTATTTTTTTTATCTGTACCTCTACCAAAAGCACTTGCAAGGCTCCAGATCAATGAATACCGATCTTCATACTCACTCTTGGAGAGCTGCGCGCCCCTTCCGGGCCTCAAACTCGTCTAGCCAGGTCTGGATCTCGCGTTTGACTTTCTTCTTTTCAGCCTTGACACTCTCCAGATCAGCTGGACCATCACCACCGGCCGCCATTTCAGGGCGTAAGGCATTATCAGCTGCATCGTTGTCGCCACCGCCAATACTTGGACAGGCCGCAAGACGCCGCTCGAGTTCCTTGAAGTCGATGTAGAGGTTCTTGATTGGGGCCTTTTCTCTGTTGGTCGACAACGGCAAGGCGAACCGCATGAACTACGACTATTTCCGAAGAATGTACTGTAGTACAACAAGCGGTGCTTCCAAGGTACGCCCTAATGTGCTGAGAGTCCCAAACAGCTTCTCCCAATTGACAGCCACTACAATTCTCACTTGGTTGTAGGCGTGTGCCCCTTTCGCTCCTCGAAATCTTTAATCCACTGCTTGATGTCTCGTTTCTTGGCGTCTCTCTCTATCTTGATTGTCGCCACATCCATGCTGCCACCACCTACTCCCGCCGCATCACCAGCTCCATCCGGCAGTGGTTGCACCGGAGGTTCTACACCAGTAGTTCCCGCGCCTTCAGTCGCAGCACCATCGGCAAGACTTGCCGCTGAGATGGATGCAATCTTCGCCTCTAGTTCCCTGTACTCGCGGTACAATGATCGGATTCCCTCTTTGTCCCTGCATTGCAGTCGACGGTGGGTGATGCAGCAAAAGGTTAGCAGTTTTGTCAAGGTTGCTTTATTGTAGGGTGCATTTGGTGAGGTACGTTTAGCCTACTGTATTGTAGTAGACGGCTGGACAGTGGTAGACGTGGGGTTGTTTGCATATCATGGCATCATGTCGGACTAAATGCAGTAGTTGGATCGGAGTTCTTTAATACGGCTGTGTGACTGCTTGTGGCACATACATGTAGCCTACAGGTACGTGGTCGACTTCTGCTGAGTACATCGTTTACTGCTGGTGTACAACATCGCACACACAGGAGGTGTTGTTTTAGGCTATTTCCACGACACTGCTCTAACGTGCGTTCGCTTTGTCTCAAAGCTAACTTTGCTTCGGGAGGACGGCCTTCCCGCTCCTCAAAGGCCGTAATCCATGCTTGGATGTCTTTCTTCAGCCCCTTGCGCCGCGTTTTCAAAATAACGAGGTCATTGCTCTCCATCGCACTCCGTTGCCGCGAGTCCCTCGGGACAAGTTGCCGCACACGCACCCGTCCTTGTGCGTGGTTTTCCCGATTGCGCGCCGCGGGACAGAGAGGAGGAGGGAACCACACGGTTTGCCATGAAACCGTCAAAACGCCTTTTTCGGGGCTCTCGAACACCCATATAATATTTCCCAACAGCCGGCCCCCCTCGGCGAGAGCTCAGTGAGCACAGCGAGGGCACCAGGAGAACGCACATTCAATAGCTACCCACGGGACTCACGTAAGCCATGTCCGCGCCAATGCTTCGAACTGTCAGCAGGGCCGTCCAGGCCCCGCAAATGAGGTGAGTGTGTCCAATGTCTGCCGCACGCCGCTCTTTGAACACTTGCTTCTTCTCTGACGAATCGTGCAAAACAACGCTTCACAGACGGACATACCCGAGGGTAGGGTGCCGCGTCTGTCCCCATGGCATCAATGCAGCAGTGTTCAGGGACTCAGGTGGTGGTTTGCGCAACTGCTCTAGGACTAAGTCCGCTAGGTTGATGGAGCATGGTAGGAATTCCTCCGGCGGCTACTGCTTCCGCTTCATGTATTGCACCCTCCGGGAAAAAAACCTGCTGCCCTCTCTAGATTTTGTAAAAGCCGTAGAGCCCTCGAACGCTTCGACCACTCTGTGTAGGTAAAGGCCAGTCTCGCCACCAGCGAGATCAGGGCAGCGTGTCGGCGTCAGTTTGCTCCGCTGAGCATCTGCTGCTTGTTTCGAGCCGGGCCCCGTGCGCCTAAAAAAAAACGCGTGATAAGGCGGGGACATGCAGCAGGAGAGAGTCGTTCCCAGTAGTCGTAGTAAATGTGGGCGTGGAGGCAAAGCAGACAAACAGATGAGTACTTGGATACAAGCGCGTTTTCTTTCGCCCTCGCGTGACAAGGAACCTTGTAGGGGTCGGAGCAGGTACTTTGTAGACCACTTCGTTGTATGCATCCCTAAACACCCCGACGAGCCCTGCTTTCTGATGCAGGGCGACGAGTCGCTTTTGCGGGTCATGTTCCTGTGTGTATTTCTGTGCGGCGCTACACTGAAACAGCGCGTCCTTGTGCCTTCGAACGTGACCACGTGCAGGACGATCGTGACGCGGTCTATGCCCAGGGCGGGCGGAGGACACGATGACCACCCTCACGTGAGTTGCATTCCGTACGTGACATAAAATACCACACATACCCTGGACCAATTGTCAAAGCTCGATTACTCCACGACCACGACGTAGAGGATGCATAAATGACAAGTTTCGTCTTCGGAAGTTCTCGACGAGAGGGCGCCGCCGTTTTCGCCGCCTCCGCTGTTTCTGCAGTGGGGGAATCGAGGTTTCAAGATTGGTCGCGGGGGTGTCGTACCTCCTCCCACCTAGGGTCCTGGTACTACCACTCCTTGAGGCATGCAGTCTTACCTTGGGTTAGCTCACCGTGTGAACCCTCGCATACAACAAGGCCCGGATGGCGCACTACGACCAGGCCGGCCTTGACACCAGTTGTGTTGGCGTCGTCGCGAAAGGTGTTTCACAGCAGTGCACCCATTAATGGTATTTCTTCATGATGGCTGCCTGCGTGTCTTTTTTTTTTGCGGCTTGTTGCGACGAAACTCCCATCCGGTGCCGCACAGAATAGTCTCGTTGGTCTGTTGCTCCATGGCTCCGTTGTTGCCCCGACCATGGCTCAGCAGTTGCTTCCTGAGAATGTTCACGCCGTCAACCCCTCGTTATTTTCTTCATTCTGCTTTTCCCTGTTTCGCCTACGTAGGATTGATCTTTCGTTGGATGGATGTTCTTGTTGTAGTCTTGGTTGTTGGCTTCGGACAGAGCAAAACCATTGTATGTATATTATAAACACCAACGTTTTGCCCACCTGAGACATTTTTCGCGGAACCCCGGTGCTCCTGGGATTTGAAAGCAAAAAAACAGTCCTCAACCCGTCCCCTTCGAATGTGGTATTATCGGGAAAGGGTAGTCTCTCTTTCATGTATGTGTATTTCCTCAAAAGCAGGCATACCTGCTTGCTTTGTCCGTTGACCATCTCAGTATACCCCTGGCTGTGCTTCATGTTTTTTGCCGTGCATTCCAGTTGGTGTTCGACACGGCCAAGGAGCCCTTCACCAAGTTCAGCGCGGGTCTGCTCGTGGGTGGACTTGTATTCTCGGGAATCGGAATCGTGGTTGGTGCTGTCACGCACCAAAACTACAAGCACGGTAAGGGAGGATAGATGAGCCAGCTGGGGATATGTACTCTTGCCCTGGCTATTAGATAGAGAAGCTCTGGGTCGCAAGTTACATGCCATGTCGTCCCGGCGTATGCCATAACGGATTAAGGGCGGTCTTCTGTGGCTGCTGCAGAGGAAAGCCGATGTGTTAGGGAAGGTTCGCGAAAGCGTTGTTGACCGCGCGTGCCGCAGGGGCAGGGCAAGACACAGTAGTCGCCATCCAACAAACGGTTGCTTCCCATGCGGAAGAGGTGGGCTAGGAAAGGGAGAAACGAGAGTCGGAAGTGTCCACCCAAATCATGCCATTGCTCCCAGCTAGAAAGCATTGGGTGATTTCCTTGTGTTCCTCCTGGCCTCATTTTTCCTTTCACTTTGGCCGATGTGAGGATATTTCACATTTCAAGTACATCGTCGGCGCTATCATTGCTTGGTAGTTGTCTGGGGGTCAATGAGTGTCGCTCGCGTGCAGGCGCTTATAATTCACAACCGGAGGTAGGATGAGGACTGGAGGACTGTGAAACCAGTCGCTGATGTGAACATGATTCATGTTGATTGGTTCCAAGCCTAGTGCTGCGGTACGAGCACGGCTGACCCGGTTGATCGGTGTGAAGAGATGTTAAGGTCGGTTATTTGGCTGCCCTTTGTAGACAAGCAGCATGAGAGTGAGCACCAGGTGCATCACAAGCACCAGGGCACTCCAGCAAACAGTCACAAGAAATTCATCGTCGGAAAGACGCATCCGCAACTCGAAACACGTTCCAAATTATCAAAGATAGGTCGGGAGATACCCGAAAGTCCACGTCAGTGGAACGGCCACTTGTTTCATATACCTTCATCGCTTCTCCAACTGCACATGAGTAATACCGCAGCAGCCTTCGTTAGGATGATGTAATCCACCTCACAAACAGAACAAATAGCAGGACCTACGCACTGCAACAAAATAAATACAACTGACCTTTGAGTTTGAATCCACCACCTCCTGTCCCCCGACCCTCTTGTTTTTTTTGTTGTTGTTTTTGTCAGGGTACTGGGGGAAGGAGTAACTCGGCTGCCGAATACAAACCCGAAGAGGGGGTGCACCGGCGCAAGTGCTGGTGGGGGGGGGGGGTATACACACATGAACAGCATGGGCATGCCCAACCGCGGTGGTTCGATATCTTGGATCGAACGCACTGTCTTGAAGGCTGTGGTGCACGCCTGAACATGTTGGCAGTCTTCATGCATACCATGTAGACGCGGTTGTCAACAAGGATGACAAGGAGTTGTTTTCATTTTTTTGGCATCGGACCTTGGCGAATGTCTCACGTAAGGCGGCTGGGTTACATTCATGACGAACAACCAACTTTGGGTTGATATCGATTGATGATATGGTCATCACGCCCCCTGTTTTAGTTTTGTAGGGGAGGAGCGTTCTGGATACTTCAAACGAACATCGCTTGGTTGGTGGGGGTCAGTCGAAGATCGGCCCGCATCTGCAAGGCTCAGAGGGCCCCAATCCGCGAGGTACCCTCCCACGTTCCTTCGAAAATATTCTTTTGTTTCAGAAGTTACATTTGCTTTCGTGTGTGGGTTTGGGGCTGGCTGCGTATGTTTGTTGCCATGACGCTTGTCCCCGATTGGTGAGCAATTTATCGTGAGGTGACGAGGGGAATACCGTGCAGCAGCAGCTGCAGCTGCAGCACTTGGTAGCCGTCTTCGAAGTTAGACGCGATTGCGTTCTCAGGAAAATCGCTCTGATGAAGAAACCTACCTTGTTTCGATTGTTCTCATTCCCTCGCGACGTAGCCCCCGCCCCCCCCCCCACATTTCCGTATTAGCGAGAATGGGTTTGATGGCACGACGACGTAGCGTGCACACTCGTGGATCAAGTGACCCCCGTGCAAGGTACATGCAGTACCCGGGCTTACCAAGCTCGCGCCGTAAGATAGACGGCCTAAGATGGGGCAACAAAAGCGATGCTCGTCATGACATCAAGGTACTGTAGTTTGCGACAACTCACACGAATCATGGTGCACCTTGGCTTGGTACACACACACAAGACACCTTTTTACTTCATGTAACGTAAGAGAGTCATTTTGCCGGACCTTCTCACGCGATGTTGATGTGTGTCGCGCTCGTCTAAAGTGGTTCTGGCCACCCCAAGTTGCTCTTACGTACAAACGTTCGAAGGCGGCCAAACGAGTTTCCACGGTCGGAGGTTGTCCCCCCAAAAAACTCGGAAAACACAACTCAGCAATCCCCAATCCCCAAACCACAAAAAAGTATACACTCCCCGGAAATCAAATGTCAAAACCAACCACTGGCCGCCACTAAGTAAGCAATGAAGCTGTCACTCTCACACATTCGTACATGGGATTTCAACTAAAAGCAACGGCCACCTGCAGGAACTCGTAAGGCAAAATCCATATGTGGAAGGTCGTGAACGGGCGACCCTACAGTACTCCGATGATGCGACCCGAACCTTAACAACCTTAGGCCTCCCGCTGACCTCATCAGCACACCTCTCAGCCTCCAGTGTCGGATAGGTAGTCCTTCTCTTCATGTGATGCGTATCTTCTGAAGGCATCACAACGGCGCCAACACGCGACCCGTAGACAAAGTATAAAACGAGTACAGTAGACTATCGGTCATAAGAAGAGGTTCTCAAGTGGTGGTGCGTTGTCAACATGTTCTCATCGCTAATTTACCCTTGGGGATTTTCGTCCGAGGGGACGAGGTCTTCGTGAGATTCCCTCGGCGATAAACGAAGTCCAGTTTCCAGCAGGTGTCCCTCAACCCTCGCTGTTGTAGTCTAGACCGATTCCACCACGAACCTTCGAACGGGGTAGTATCTCGAACCGGTGGTCTCTTCCCGATATTTTCGAAAAAGGAGTACTGAAGAGCACTACAGAGCAAAAATACAAAAGACAACAACGAACGATGGTTCCATCCACTCCCCTCCCGTACACCAACAACGCTACTGCCCGCTAGGTATCTGTCGCGATTCCACAATCGCATTCCATTGCGGCCAGACAAGCCAATGAGGACCAAATACCGCTCCTCTCACTTCTTCAAATACCAGCGTGCCAATCCTTCCTGTGCTCCTGAGCTATTCCTGGCGGGAAACAAACGGTATCGATTGTCCACGCGCGGCCACCTGTAGTGTCGCTTAGTTTACGCCCTGAATTACACGCACCACGAAACATCGACACCAACGCAGACCAGTCTCAATCGCCCATACCAACAATCCCGTTCTACCCAACTGCACGCAGTTGTCCCACTCGTCACCTCCGTTGCCATCCTCGTGTGATTGGCCGAACACGCGAGTGACGTCAACAGGGGTCGAGACTTTTACTTCTTACGAGATACTCTACAAAAAGATAGCACTCAAAATGTCACGGTCGAGAGTTCATTGTAACCCGAAGAGATAACCCGATGTTTGTGCTCTCCTCCGTTGCACTTACACATTGGTACTTGTGTTTTCATTCATGATGTTGCCCTGCCATCCACACACCCAGATCTTCATAGGCACATGGCAACATGAACGGGGGGCTTCTACCACTGTTGTGTTGTTGAAAGAGGATACGCCACACACACACCATGCACAGTGCTGGCTACGCGAACAGAACAATGCTTGCATTGAACACGATCCCCTCATTCAGAGACAGAAGAAACGCTGGTTGTCAACGTTTGAGTTTCCTTATCGTACGTGTTGCCGTCGCCAGCAATTTCTATTTATCATCGTCTGGTTGGCTCCGACAGAGGTCACGCGGACAGAACTCCAGACATTTTTTCTGGTCAACGCGGTACATGAAGACCTTCTTGATCGCTGTTGTCGCGCACCGAAGGGGTGCTTGAATTTCGCCCAACCGAAGGAAAGCCGCAGCGCGGCAATGACGACCTTGGGTGGTTTTCCTCTGTGCAATATTCAATTGTGGTCTCTCTCATACTTTAATTATGGTCTTCTCTTCAATCGCGTTCGGCATGGACGTAGTCCAGAAACACAAATTGCTGCTGGCGCTTCGACATGGCCACCGCGAGACCTGGTTTGTTCGGCAACCAAAAAAAAATAGCATGTTACGATATTAAAAGCAGAATCATAATGGTTTAGCAACGGCGATGCTGCGCGTACATAGGCAACGATATACCGGGAAGGTTCACTACAGACAGGGAGGAGGCAGGGTACCGCAAGATGCACGTCGGCGGCAGGGGGGGTTCAAGGAGAACTACTTAGTACAATATAGACGGTAAATAATTGTATTTGCATAGGTGGGATGCATTCGTGCCAAAATCGCACGTGCCCGTTCGCATGCGAAACTGTGGCGATGACCGCAGCAGAAGAGAGTTGACTTGCTCACCCGCGCTCGCCAAGGCTCCGCCGACAAACCCGACAGGGAGCAATCCCCGAGGAACCGCCGCGGCCGCCCCTAGGAGCACCAGGGTGCTGCCGGCGGATAGGCGCTTGACGGCCCCCGACACTGGCGGTGACGCAACCAGGATGATGGGTGTCAGTCGGAAAAAGCAAGCGGTCAGGCGAGGAAATCTTCGCTTGCCACAAGACGCGATTCTTCAACAGTTTGCGTCACGGACTGTGAGGGAGATCTCTACTCAAGAACAGACGTTGAGCCGGGTAGTCGAAAGATAGAGCAAAAGAGAGATTTACTATCGTAGCTCGATACTATCTAACAACGTTTGAAACACCAACCTTCCAAAGAAATACAACAACAACAAACATGCCCGCGCAAAACATACATGCAGTTTTCGTACCTCGGAATGCCTTGCTGCAGGCGGAGCAGTCCTTTGTGTGCGCGTCCATCCTGTCGAGAACCTCCTCGCGGGGAAGTATCGGACCAAGGTGGGTTGGATCCACCGCCTGTTATAGAGGATTGTGCGAGCGAAACCAGCAGAAGTTTCAAATCGGATGAAAATGTTGAAGTTTGGCTGAGACGCTTGCTCCACGCTTGCCTTAGTCGGTCGAACAGTGACCGTGCGCCCCCTTCGAGAATGAGCACCGTTCTTACTCCTAGAGAGGTGCCGAAAACACGAAGGCGCTTCACTTGAGTATGAAACATTCCGCATCGGAAACCGTTACTTGTCTTACTCTTACACCCTTCTGGGCGTTGTTTTTGTCAGAAACTACTAAATGCCCTCCGTCCTCTCTTGGCATTTTCGCGGTGTCCGATCACTTCACCCCCCCCCCCCCCCCCCCCCCCCCCCCCCCCCCCCCCCCCCC